AGTGCATGTGGCCCTGTTCTTTCAGTGTGGTGTTTCCTGTCACAGTGGTCTGGGAACTGTGAAGAACCCATACAAAAAGGACCTGAAGACCCCATGCAACATCTAGAGAACTTTTGCTTGTCTTCCCTGCATCTTTGGTGTAGTGGCACCGACCCTCATAGGCCAGCTGCAAAGTAAGGAATGAGCACTTTTGAAGCTCTGGATTCAGACCTTCTCATCCTGAGTGGGAGTCAGAATTCCTCCAGGGGGCTCAGGGACTCCCTGTGGACTGACCCCTCCAGGTCTGTCTTTCTGGCCTTTGCACCTAGCCCCAAGTTATTCTTTGCTCATATTAGCTATCTGCAGCTCAGTTAGTTCTTGCCCACAGTGTAGACATGTTTCCCCCTGCTTGGGCACATCTTCCTTTTTTTTTTTTTTCCCCTTTACTGTTTCCATGCCCATGTTTACCTTCAGTTTACCATGGTAGTTTTAGTCTCTCTTCAGATTCCACTTGGCTATGCTATCCTGTCTGCTTTGCCAAGCTGAGAAATCATCCCTCCATCCCTCTGGGATACCCTCTACTTCCTCCGGTTACACTCTTACGCCTCATCATATGTTCTTCATGGTGTGTAGTGAGACCAAAACAGGGCAAGGCTGTATTCTCATCAGTCTTAGATTCTTCTTGCTTAGCTATGAGCATCTGAACATAGGACATGGGGTGGATTTTGTACAGTAACACTTGGGCTCTACTGCTGCTTAGCTGTGTGAGCTGAAGCAAGTTCTCGGTTTCTTTGCTCTCATTTCTTCAACTGGTTATGGGCATAAAACACTTTGTGGTGGTTAAATGAGAAGAATCCCCATAGGCTCAGATATTTAAATACTTCATCGTCAGAGAATAGAACTCTTGGGAAAGATTAGGAATTGTGGCCTGATTGGAGATGAGGGCTTTGAGGTTTCAAAAGCCCACGCCAGGCCCAGTCTTTCTCTCTCTCTCTGCCTACTGCCTGTCAATCAGGATCTAAAGCTCTCCAATACTGCTCCAGTACCATGCCTGCCTGCTTCCTGCCATGATGATCATAGATTAACTATAAGCAAGTGCCCAGTTAAATGCATTCTTTTCTAAAAGTTGCCTTGGTCAGTATGTCTCTTCACAGCACTAGAACACAGACTAAGACACACTTACTTGTTAAAACTCTTGAAGGAATAGACCTTAGACCCAACACAAGAAGGTCTCTGTGCTGGGGCAAACTTTGGGTGAGGAAAAGGAGCCAGACTGTTGGCAGCCAGCTGTTTATGAAGCTTTGGCCCCTGTATAGGGCTCTAAGGATCAATACATGTTCATTGTTGTTATCATTTTGTTTTGCTAGGTACATGGGAAAAAATTATTCCTTCAGTTTGATCCCGATGAGGAGATGGAGCTACTTGGCAGTGGCCCACAGCCTGGACAAGGAGTGCAGCAGAAAGAGGCCATGAACCCAGAGCTGATCCTGGGGCCCAATGCTCAGGAAATGTCTGCAGGCCCCTCTGGATCTGAGGAGCCTTTTCCTAGTGGATCCGATGGTCCCTATGGTCTTGGAGGACACAACCTTTTAGCAGTTGCCCAGAGGTGGCTAGAGGTCAGGTTTGGTTTATTTGGCAGTATCTGGGTGAATGACTTCTCCAGAGCAAAGAAAGCTAACAAGAGAGGTGACTGGAGAGACCCTGTGCCCAGGTAATGTGTGACATGTACGGGGGTCCTGGTAGGGTCTGCAGTGTTCATGTGGTTCTCTCTGTGGCAAGGCGTGGCTGAACGGTCACACTTGGGAATGACCAGACCTTGCTATCCTGGAGGCAGAAAGTGTAGGTGGAGTTTTCCTGTCCTGACCGCCAGCTCCCACATAACCACTCAGCATGTTTTTTTTGTTTTTTTTGTTGTTGTTGTTTTTTTCGAGACAGGGTTTCTCTGTGTAGCTTTGAGCCTTTCCTGGAACTCACTTGGTAGCTCAGGCTGGCCTGAAACTCACAGAGATCCACCTGGCTCTGCCTCCTAAGTGCTGGGATTAAAGGCATGCGCCACCACCGCCCGGCTACCACTCAGCATCTTAATTATAATTGTCTGGCCGATAGCTCATGCTTATGACTAACCAGCTCTTACAACTAAAATTAACCCATTTCTATTAATCTATGTGCTGCTCCGAGGCTTGTGGCATTTACCTCTCCAGCATGTCTTGCTTACTCTCTGTCTGGCTGGTGACTCCTCTCTTTCTGCCTTTCTTCATCCCAGCATCCTTAGTTTGGGTGTCCTACCTGTACTTCCTGCCTGACTACTGGCCAGTCAGCTTTTTATTAAACCAATTCGAGTGACAAATCTTTAGAGGGTCCAAAGGGTTATTCCACAGCAAGAAAGAGGTGCATGTTTACCCATAAGAACTGGACTTTGATCTGCATTCCAGAAGATTGTAACTGCCTGGGTCACTGAGAGAACAGAGTGAGGTTTCCAGCCAACATGACACTTGAGAGTGAACTGTCTCAGAAGAAAAGCATATGTCTAGACTCTTGTGCTCTGAATTTAGGGACATGGTTTTCCTTCTTACTCAGTTTGTGAGCACTAAGAACAATGTAGGATTATTTCCTTAGTCAGTTCCCAGTTGCTTCTGGAAGGGAATGAATGTACTTATGGCTGGATTTGGTCAATTCTTACCTGCACTGGCTTATTAGTATACACACTAGCAACGAAAAGTATGTATTTCATTATTGTTGCATGAGTTCGTGCATGCATGCACCCCTGTGTGGAGGTCAGAGGACAATTGCCGGGAGTTGATTCTCTCCATTCACTGTGGATCCTGGAGGTCAAACTCAAGTCAGGGTTTCTCTTTTCTTCTCTTCTCTTCTCTTTTCTTTCTTTCTTTCTTTCTTTTTTTTTTTCCAGAGCTGAGGACTGAACCCAGGACCTTGCCACTGAGCTAAATCCCCAACCCCTCAGGTCAGGGTTTCATAGCAAGCCTGCTAGGTCAACTCAGCAGCCTCACGCTGACGTATTTTAGGCTTTGGTAACCTGTGTTGTCAGAATTGTTTCCAGGCTAGTGTGTGTGCATCCTTTGAGTGTGTTTATAAAGCATTTTGGCCATTTTGGATTTTTAAGGTTTTTTTTTTTTTTTTTTGTGGTCAGTGGTCATGTGTGAATTTCCCTTTTAGCAAAGGAGTCTCCTTCTAACGAAATGACACAGGTACTTTGTAAGTTTGATAGATTGTTTTGTGGTGCTATGCATTGTTGCTAAGCAAATCCTCTGAGCCTTACCTACAGTTCTTGAGAAAATATTTTTACTATATTTATTCAGTGTGTGTGTGTGTGTGTGTGTGTGTGTGTGTGTGTGTGTATGCGTATACCATGGCACATATGTTGAGATCAGGGGACAACTTGCAGCAGGTTGGTTCTGTGGGTTCTGGAGCATGTGGTCCTGGGAGATCAAAGTCATCAGGGTTGATGGAAAGCACCTTTACCCTCTGAGCCATCTGTAGGCTCTGACAATTAAAAACAAGAAATATTGCTGGGTTATCTTATGACAAAAGTCTTCCTGTATAGCCTAGGCTAGTCTCAAATTCATAATCCTCCTGTCTCAGTCTGAGTGCTGGGATTACAGGCATGCACCACAGTACCCAGCTCTTTGCTTTCTGAAGTTGCCTCTGCCCTTCCCAAGAACACTAACTAGGTCAGACATGGACTCAGGTTCTCCTACTTCTGGTGTGAAGGCCGCTTTGATTGGATTAGCTATTCCTACAAAGTTTTATCCCTATGTTATTTCCTCACCAAAGTGTGTCCTAACACTTTCTGTCCTAACATCCAAAAGGCTCAGGGACCTATATGTGTAGGAAAACACACACACACACACACACACACACACACACACACACACACACACACATATATATATAGGTGAATCCAGCCTGGCACTGGAAGTGGTGCCATCTTTGCCACCATTTCATCTTCTCCCCAGTGAGCCTGCCCACCTCTGTTCAGTTTGCCGCTAACCTGGATTGAGACTTACAGCTTTTCATGTTTCTATGTGTCAGCATGTATTGCTACAATGTAATTAGAAAACAATGTATATGTACAGCTTTTCATGTTTTTAACTGTCAACATGTATTGCTACAATGTAATTAGAAAACAATGTATACATATGTTTTGTAGCTGGAGAATTTCTCTCCAGCCCCCACCAAGTCTGGCCAGTCCCGGTCCTGAAGTCCACTTATAAAATAAACACACAGTCGCTTATATTATTTACAAACTGTATGGCCATAGCAGACTTCTTGCTAACTTTTTATATCTTAAATTAACCCATTTCTATAGATCTATACCTTGCCATGTGGCTTGTGGCTTACCAGCATCTTCACATGCTGCTTGTCATGGTGGGCGGCTGGCAGTGTCTCTCTGACTCAGCCTTCCACTTCCCAGAATTCTCCTCTCTCCTTGTCCCACCTATACTTCCTGCCTGGCCATTGGCCAACCAGTGTTTTATTTATAAAGAACGATATCCACAGCAATGTTTTATTTTATTCCACTTAGCCCTGAGATGTTTATGATTCGTCCCAGTTTGATCCAGACTAGTATAGAAGCTTAATGCACAGTCTACCTGTAGAGTAGAAACTGTGTGTATGTGTTATCTGTCCAATGGTAACTGTGTACAAATGTGACCTACATAGTAGTCATTGTATGCTCATGTGGCATAATTATTCAGTGGTAACTATATTGTGATGTACATTGATAGTTGTATGTGTGAGCTAATTATATTGTGGTAACTATATGTACATGTAAACTGACTCTACAGGGGTCTGTTTATGTATTATGAATTGACTGTACATTGGTGGATGGAATGTATGACCTCATTGTATTTGAGAATGCTGTATGTGTGATCTCTTCTGTCTTCTCAGGCTGGTACTCCATTTTGATGGTGGTGGCTTCCTGGCATTTTATAATTGCCAGATGTCATGGAGTCCTCCCCCAGTGGTTGAGCCCACCTGCGACATCTTGTCTGAAAAGTTCCATCGAGGACAAGCCTTGGAAGCTCTAAGGCAGGCTCAGCCTGTGTGCTATACACTATTGGACCAGAGATACTTCTCAGGATTAGGTATGCCTCATGTGATAGGGTGGAATCCCACAGAGTTGATTAATGGGAAAGTCACACATCTGTAGGGCAGTCAGAACTTGAGGACTCCTAACCCAGTTGTGCCAACATTCCTGGTTTGGAGGTTGGCTTAGCATCCCTGATTTTAGACTCAGAGGTTAGGTTAGGCAGGTCCTCACTTCTCTGTCTGGTGCGGCACTCACATCATGATAGTGTTTACCACTCTAGAGGCCGTGTGGGACCTGGGAAAACGGAGCACATAAATGAGGCAGACTAAAGTCTCATGCCGTAGCCAACTTTATTCAGAGCATCAAGACAATTTATACACCGGGGGTTGAGAGAGATCACCCAAGTAAAGTTCTCATGAGTTCAAGCTGTATCCAACCACAAGGACAAGCCAAAGATGCCAAAACCATGTTTTTCCAAAAGAGCAAAAAAAAAGAAAAAAAACCAAGTGGAAAGAAAAAAGAAAGAAACAAAACCCCAATCCAACGCAACCGGGGGAAACAAAAAAAAAAAATCCAAAAAACAATCCGGTTTGAAACAAAAAAAGCCCCAAAAACCCTGGCCTTCCTCCTTTCCCTTTTTTTTTTTCTCACACACTCAGAATTCTCCCCATATTCTTCTTCAGCTGTATCCTGACATGATAAGACTGTCAGTTGTGAGCCTCCTGATGGTGTATTAGTGTGACCACCTAACAGAGAGATAGATAATGTCTTGGGCCTGGCACCCTCTAAAGCCTGGTGACCTACGGAGCATATAGAAGGTTCTGGGTCATGACATGCTGTGAATGGTTGTCCTGAAGGCTATTAGAAGAGAGGAAGGTGTGTTCCTACACCAGGTAGTGCTCTTGGGCAGTGGAGATGCCTGCTGCCAAAACAGAGGCAGGTATCAGATCAGCTCCAGGCTCCCAGAAGCCATGAGAAAGAAGGAGGTTTCCGCTCTGGAGAACTTGTACCCGAAGTCCCCCAAAGACCATCAAGAGACCAAATCCTATGCAAAAGCAGAGTCTTTTTATTGCGAGTTAACTTGGGCTTCTCTGTCTGTCTGATGCAGCAGCAGAGCAGGCGAGACCCTGAGTAGCAAGGGGCAGGGTATTTATAGGAAATAAAGTAAGGGGAGTCTTGGAGTTTTCAGACTACATAGGAACAGACTCAGGATTGGTTTATGTGAGTGGCAATCATGTTAGTAACTTTGAATTGGCTAGTGTTAGTTGGGGGTTACAGTTACCCATTTTGGGGCAGGTCTCTGCAAGTCCCAGGCTTTGTCCTTGAGCTGCTGTGGAGGCTGGCTGGCCTAGCACGTACTGACTGTGGGGGCTGGCTCAGTGGCCCCGGCTTGGTGTGTCCTATCTCCCTGTCCCTGCTCCCAGGGGCACCAGTGATATTGTCTTTTGTTCATGGCCCTCCCAGAAACTGTTTGCTCAAGTCAGGAAACTGAAATTGAGGCCTGATCTCTGAGAGAAGACTGAGCAACCTATTATAGCATCTGCTTGGTCCCTTCAAACTGACTGGTGAAACTGTGAGCATTTCCAGATGAAACAAGGAGTATGTGTAGTTCTTAGTACCAGAGAGGGCAACTTTCTTTTTCTTTCTTTCTTTCTTTCTTTCTTTCTTTCTTTCTTTCTTTCTTTCTTTCTTTCTTTCTTTCTTTTTCATTTATTTATCTATTTTTCTATTATCAGCTTGATACAGTACAAATTCTTATCCTAATAGTGAAATGTTTCATAATTATTTCATTATTTAATGAAATAATTAAATTATTTCATTAATTCACTCAATTACTTGCCAGTAATTGAGTAAAACCAAAACTTATAAGCCAGAGTCATCCTAGGGTCCCCCCTGCTATATAGCCTCCCTGGTTCTGTGGGTTGCAGTCTGATTGTTCTTTGCTTTATATCTAGTATTCACTAATAAGTGAGTACATACCATGTTTGTCCTTCTGGGTTTGGGTTACCTCACTCAGGATGATATTTTCTAGTTCCATCCATTTGCCTGCAAACCTCATGATGTCATTGTTTTTCCTGCTGCGTAATACTCCGTTGTGTATATGTACCACATTTTCTTAATCCACTATTCAGTTGACGGGCATCTAGGTTGTTTCCAGGTTCTGGCTATTACGAATAGTGCTGCTATGAACATAGTCGAGAATGTGTCCTTGTGGTATGATTGAGCATTCCTTGGGTATATGCCCAAGAGTGGTAT